TATACCTGAATATCTATTTCAACCAGGACATCTCTAGTGTGTTTTATAGAAGAATAAAATGGCCACAGCTTCAATGTCAGAATGTTCTATTAGTTTTGAATTCTTTAATATACCTAAGATACTACCATGTGGACACACCTTTTGTTTGAGGTGTAAAGAGAGATATATTGGAAATAAAAAAAAGAAATTCCGCTGTCCTATCTGTAAGCAGAACGTTAAGATTCCAGAAGGTGGTGCTAAGATGTTTACTACCAATTTCATAGTTCCAACATACCCGCATACATCACAAGTTACTGGTACAGCATCACCTACAACACATCTAACAGACAAAACCTCTTCAAAGGTAAAATACCACTGTCAATGTCATAGAGAGAGACCAATAGACTACTATTGTCTAACTTGTCACTGTGTGTTATGTCATAAATGTTTTCTGAAAGAACACAACGGTCACGAGTATTTAGATGTAGAATGTGAAACTGTGAAAGAAAAAGCTACAGAGCTAGTTTTAACCTCAGAGAAATTCATCCAAAATAAAATTAAAGACTTGGAAGAAACTCACGTGGCGTTAATAGAAGCAAATTTCAAACAAATTCAGACAAATTTCCCTTCTTTAACAGAAGATTGTGATTTACAAATTTTAGTTTCACTTGAGAAAATAAAAGAGCTAGAAGAATTGTGTAAAGATGTGAAAGTCGAAACACCATCAGTGGTTCAGTATCTTGATTGGGAAGAAAAAGATTTTAGATTCAATATCGACATGTTAGGATCCATGGTGTTAAAACAATATCACATACCCAAACTACACGAGTCTAATTCATATCAATTTTATTATAATATAAATGATATAATGAAGGATGGTGAAGGGTATTACAGTCAAGACAAGTTAAGTTACAATAACTTGGTATGGAGTTGTTGTGTATTGAGCTGGAATGAATATTTATATATTAATATTAAACTATTATCAGATGACAATCCTAGATTTAACTATTGTATTATTGCTTATCAAATCAGTTTATTGAATATTGATGATGACAGTAAAACTATAACTAATACATATAGTAACGAGAGATTAGAGAGAGGTAGTTGGTGTTTGTGGTGGAGGAGATCTATCCCCTGGTCTAAACTCAATGATAAAAACAATGGTTATTTAAATTCTAACAATCAGTTTGTGATTCAAGTTAATATCACACAGATCAGAGAAATATCATTGAAATAAAGTTTATTCCACAATTCAATCTTTTGTCTCTCTTTTTATTAAATAATGTGCAACAAAGATTGAAATATATTATATTTCTGTAAAATTGTCTTTTATTTTAAATATTTGCAATTGTATATGTAAGGTTTTATTTTCAATTCTTTTTTAAGTTTAACTGTATTTACCAGTCATGTCTGGCTAGAGCTCTAGACTGTTGATTTTAGTATTTTATCTATAAAATGTTTAATAGGCAACTCCTTTAACTATTTTATTTTCTCCTTCGTAGAGTGAGTTTAAGTATAAATGAAGATATTTCGTACAATGAGTTTAAGTGTAAATTAGTTTAGGTCAGCACTGGTCAGATTAACCCTTTCTATACCTGTAATTGGTTTTCATCTTGTTTTCATTATATCTGTTCGTTAATAGTGAGTTCATTATTTTAATGGTTACAGACGCGTATAGTCTTAATTTTGCCCTCCCGCCCTATTTCCCTGAATTTAAATTCTTTGTATTTGAATTAGATTAAGTTCCTTTTGTAATGTTTGTTCATTTTGCTCTTTTATTAATTATTTAAGAGTTTGTAATTTGTAAAATTTGAGTATATTTTGGTCACAATAATTAAAGTATTCATTTACTTTACTACTGTTTTGTTATTGGGGTTGGGAATTTAACTGTATTTACCATTTACAGCTCTAGACTGTTAATTTGACTGTATGTACCAGTCATGTCTGACTAGAGCTCTAGACTGTTAATTTGATTGTATTTACCAGTCATGTCTGACTAGAGCTTTAGACTGTTGATTTGATTGTATTTACCAGTCATGTCTGACTAGAGCTCTAGACTGTTAATTTGACTACTCCCTGGTTTAGCCAGACATGACCAAATCCATAATTAAGCAATATTGATTTGACTGATGTCCCAGTTTGATCTGCCATTTCAGTCTTGTTCAAATAACATTCGAAAACATAGTTTAAGTAACCTAGCATTATGCATATTTGGAATTCTTAAGAAGTATGAAACGGGTTTTTAGTAATAATTTGTACAGAGCTCAAGTCTTCCACATTCTGCCCTCGAGATCGATTTTGTTGTTTTGGTTCCAGTGCAGAGAAGCCACTTACAGAATTTATTCTGGACATTCTTTATGTCAGGTCTCAACATCTAAACATCTTAACAATGATTCCAATTAATAATACCATTTCTCTCGTTTTGACAGCACACCACCATTCTTAAATACTGTAGCGGGGTTTAAGTCTCAATTCAATCTAAATTAATCATTTCGGGTATACATAATTTACGTAAATATTTCTCTCTGTTACAAGTCACCTTAATTCCCGCCAAACATTCCTTTAACATCTTGGTTATCATCCCCCTTGTCCAAAAATCCTCTATCTTTGAATTATATATCATTGTCCATGTCCCGTCCCGCATCAACCACAATACCTCCCTAATGTATACGATCTCCCATTCCCATTTGGCTATTTCCCCCGACCATAATGTCTATATGTTGCTCCATGATCACGAGGTTACTTTTTGCAAACAGTCCACAAATTTTGCTCCTTCTTGTATACCATCCCTTTTTGCACAGCGCAAAGTTGGTCCAGCATACATGTAAGATCCTTAACGAAACGCAATTGGCTCCTCTTCAGTCCTATTCATACGTCCCTCGATCTTGTCTGTTTTGATCCCTCCAAAAACTTAATGAATAATATAGTTATTACTCCAGGTGTCAATATTCTTAATATGCCAGTCGGTTGCTCCGGTCACAATCCTTCCTTTACTATTCCTCACTACTTGCAAGAAAAAAGTCGCTATCAAATCCGGAAGTCAAATAATAAATTGCTTGATATATCCCAATACCTATTTAATTTAACCCTCCCAAAATCCCTTAACTCCATCGCCCTCTCTCACAAAGTTTTACTTAAAACCCTCACCAAACTCACTATCGAAGACAAGAGCATCCATCATTTACTGTCAGAAATCCAGGAAATTAAATATTCTTATCCAATGATGCACAACCCTTTCACTATGAAAGCTCATTGGCTCTATTACTTTCTTCTATCTCTAATTGGCTTAGTCGTTCTCTTCTTCTCTTTCTATTTTTTCTACACAAAATGTATCAGACCTCGAAGGCGCTTGGCTCATCTCAATAGACAGATAGTGAAATCATCAACTACCACCCAATTAGGCACAATTTATTCGGCAGTATTACCCGTACCGAAAAAACGACAGAAATCCTACCCAGAGGAACTGCCCCCCTCGACTACCAAGAAGAAACATCTGAAGCAGAAGACGACGACCATTACAGAGAAACCCATTTTCACCAGAACCATCGAACTAATTGCGTAGGACCTGACCACATCGACCATTGATCGGACATCATCATGTGTGCTAAATTCATTTTGGAAGTGTGCGAAATTCATTTTGGAAGTGTGCGAAATTCATTTTGGAAATAAGTGATGATCGGACATCATCATGTGTGTAAATCAT